CCGTCAGGGAATCTCCGCCTCTGATGCCCTTTTCCCTATCCTTCAGTCTGTTGATGAGGGGAGCTATGTGGGGTCCCTCGACTTCTCCCTTGCTTTCGACTCCGCAAATCCCGTCATCCCCCTTCATGTCTCCGAGCTGTTGGGCATGCCAAGCAGTACCGCTAGTATGATTTCTAAAGTTTGGTGTCATCAAGAGAGATACCTCCAACTCGCTGGGGAGACTGATCCCACCCCGTGCTTTGTTACTTCATCCCTTCCTCAGGGTGACGCGTTGTCCATGCTAGGGTTAGCTGCTACTCTCCTTGGGCCACACCTTGACATTCGGAGCCGGTTTGCTGGTTCTAAGTTTGCCACCTATGTCGATGATAGGACCTTTGCTTGTAATAGTGCTAGTGAGTGCGTCGCATTAACCAATGCTTGGCGCACTTGGAGCAACTTCCTCAATTTGCGTGAAAACGAAGACAAAACTCAGTTTTTTCATCGCACCGCTCTCGGCAGGAGAGAACTTGTTGAAGCAGGTGCCCCATCAGATAAGGTTCTGACCTGCCCCAAGATCCTAGGGGTTCAACTCATTTCTGCACAAGGCCGTGGTCTTACGCAGGATGAGGATAGGAGGTTTCGTAAAACAACTGTGCTTGCACGTAGATGCTCTTATCTTCCGCATACAAGCTTCCGTAGGTGTTATTCGATGTCTATGACGGCTATTTCGGTTGTTAAGTGGGGTTGGTTGATGAAAGTCCCACCTAAGCAAGCTTTTGGACAACTTGAAGCTGCAATCCGTCGTTGTGCTGCCACGCACAGAGTTGGGGATCCGTCCTTAGCTAAGATCCTCAGAGGTCACCTCTGTTCACCTGATTTTGCTTGTTTTTCTGCCGTAATTGCTGCAATCTACCGATTTTGCAAGAAAACCCATAGTCCTTTCGGTTCTTGGGAGCTTAAATCTGGATTGGCAAAATCCATCCGTTCTTTCTTCACTCGTTACGGTTGTTCAGTCACCTGCCCTTGGACGTGGAGGTCCAATAGTGCTAATGCTGCCCGCATCTCGCTCATGCCGTCTAGTTCCTGGTTCGCCAGCAACAACAAGGCACTTCAGCGTTCTTTGCGTGAAATCGGGCGCAGCTTTCTTTATGCCAAATGGGCTGCCAGCCCCAGAATCGATAGTCAGTTTGCTTGGCATGTGCCCTACAGTGAGCATCGTTGTGCTGCGGCCCGTGGCATGGCTGTTCAGTCCCCACATCACACCGCCGTTCTTGTGGGTGCCAATGTGTCTCCTGCCAAGCTCGCTGTTATGCTGCAAGCACACAGGCTTGCACGCAGTAATCGTAAGGTTCCTGCCCCTGTGTTTGTATGTCCCTTCTGCCACCAGCCAGGAGCAGACCTCCTATACGTCACCTGGTCCTGTCCGCTGCGACAGGAAGGGGAAGGAAGGCCACCCCCTGTCACCCCTGTTTGCCATCTCCAAAAACGTTTGGGATGGCCGCGAAAGCAACCTCCCGACAAGTACGACTGTCAGATCTTGGAATGGATGGTACATTGCAGGCGTAAGATCCTGCAGGAACGGTGGCCTACTTAGGTCACACTTTTTGGCTGTTTACTTTGTGGGTCTGATCAATCTCGATCACCATCGACAAGATGAAAGCCGTGTAGAGGCCCATTCGGCTCTACTGCACTCTACCGCCACGCCTCGCTTAATGCTGGCTAAGGGTATGAGTTTCTTTCTTCCGTTGTTTTAGGCTAATTTTGGGTTTGGGCCCCTGGTTCTCCCGCCTTACCCTATCTTAGCTGCATCCGTGTTCAGGCTTGAGAGCCTGTTGTTTGACCACTGCTGTGGTTCGCACATTGTGAGCAGCATGCATGTGCTGCACAGCCCTGGCGGCTGCCCCCCTCAAACTGCCATTTGAGTGAGTGGGTGCCTTCAACAACTTTTTCTTCTCTGGTTGAATGTCGTCAAATGGCTCGAGGGGTCCCAGAGCAACAACTCTCCAACTTGAGGTCTAAGATTGTCGGGTCTTCGTTTTACTATCCGGGCATTCGAGCAGTAGACGTTGCGGAACGGCTTCGCGCACTACAGGAACATGACAAGCAACGACGTTTACAGAGCTGGGGACTACAAGATGGCTATGCACCATAATGTCGTCGATGACGAGGTGCCGGAGGGCGAGGACGAAGCTACACTGACGCAGACCTCGTACGAAGTGCTGGCCGGCCTGCGATACTTTTGGGAGCGCATTTGGGATCGTACAGAGATTACGGATGATCAGCTCGAAGCTCTTCAGCGTACCTGGGGTCCTGGGTTTCAGCAGAGGGACCTCCCCTTGCCGGATGGAGAAACTTGGCTACGTTACATGTACAAACAACGCGGCAAATCTGCAGGCGTGGATGGATGGCGTGCAGAGGAGTTAGTGGTGTTACCTTTGGATCACTGGAATTTGCTGGCTACAGCAGTTGCTTCCTTGGCTCGACGCGGGGCTCTTCCACGCGATTGGGGGTGTATTCGTCAAGCGCGCATTGTCAAGCCCAACAAGGCGGAGGCTTTGGTTTATCCTATGAGTGCTCTCAGGCCGGTGTCCATCATGACGGTGTGGTATCGGGCTTGGGTGTCGGCAATCATGACGTCTCAAGACGCCAAGGCGTGGCAACGCGATGTTTTACCTCCCGAGCAAGTGGGCGGAAAAGCCGATGAGGACGTGCTGGCGGCTCTTGTTCCAGTGGCACAATGGTCGAAGACGCATTACATGGCAACGCTCGATTATTCGAAGGCTTTCGATTACAGCAGCCCTCGTTTGGTTGTGGCTGCGTTGGTTTGGTGTGGTATGCCTTCTTTCTTGGCCCACGCTATAGGAAGCATCTGGAAAAACCAAACACGTTGGCTTACGTGGCATGGGAGCTACCTGGTCGATGGTGTCCGTATATCGCAGTCGCTTCCTCAAGGTGACCCGGCAAGCCCTATGGGACTCAATGCGGTCCTTTCTTTCGCGGTGCGCATGCTGAAGAATAATTGGCCCAACACCAAGAACCTCCTATTTTTGGATGACAGGTCTTGGGCGAGCCCCACTCCTGGTGACGCGGTGCAAGTGCTACACGCTTGGCATGAGTTTTCAGAGTCCTATGGTCTCGGAGAAAGTTTCTCCAAGTCACAATTTTTCGCGCGCACAGCAGCTATGAGACGCAGATTCGAGGCCGTCTTGGGGGAGGTCCGTGACAATATTGTATTAATTGGTGTCTCTTTCAGAGGGGCACGCAACCGAGCTATGACTTCGAAGGAGCAGTCGCGTATTCAACGTGCTACAAACATCGCTTGCAAGGCTTCGATTTTACCGGACTACAGCGGGAAACTACACGTGGTCACGCAGATGGCGTGTTCGGCAGCCAGCTGGGGTTGGATTTTTCGACCTCCTAACGTCAAGACTTGCAGAGCCTTCGAGGTCGCCTGGAGGAGGGCGGGCCTTGCGCCTACGAGAAGCAATGTGGCTATGGGTAGACCGCTATTGGGTCATGTCGTGGACTTGAACTTCGTTAGCGGAACGATGGCTTTATCTGCTTTGATGAGGGCGGCGCGGCAGCAGCGCAATATTGACCGCACTTCGGTCATTTTTAAGAGGGTGTCTACCTGGATGCAGAAACTTGGTTGGAGGTATCTTCGACTATCTCTTCTGTGGAAGCGTGAGGACGAGTATATCTCTCTTCGCGACGACATTGAGGGCGCCAAACACAAGCTCGCGAAGGATGGCGGCAAGATCAATGGCAGCACTGGGATGCTTCTGGACGGCTGGAAGTACAGGCGCCGGGTGTCCGCCCCTACGACGCGGTTCGTGTCAAGAAGGCTTGCAAGCTTGCGGGCAACAGACATTTTCTGGCAGTACTCAGCGGGGCTTCTATTTCTCCGGCTAGGATGGCGGCGACGGGTACATTTGAGGATCGCTCTTGTCCATTTTGTGGAGGTCAGTGGGCCACGCGTGGGCATCTTTTCTGGGGCTGCCCCAACAACAATCGTACAGTGGAGATACCACAAGATGAGTTGCAACAACAACTTGGTTTTCCATCGGCATTGTGTAGCGACAATTACAATAGGCAGGTTCTGGAACATATGGCCAGCATTCGCCGTACAATGATCACCACTTATTTTTCGTTCGCTACACATCTGTATGCGCTAATGACACAGAGCTGGGGTAACCCAGGAGGAGCGACGGCCGTAGGCACTGTCATGACTCCCCTCTAGGTGGTTTTGGTTTTCGGGATAGGGCCTCTTTGGCTTCTTTTTGGGGTACAGCAAGTCTCTGTTAACCGGGGACTGGCCTGGCCGTTCTTGGGCGTCGATCCCGCTCTTCGGGGCAGAGGACTTCGCCGGGGTCGAACGAGCAGCAGTTGAATGTCGTGAACGCAGTCTTCGTGCAGAGCACAATGAAGGCCAACTACTACTTCTACTATTAATACTACCACTACTACTATTACTACTATTACCACTACTACTACTGCTACTACTACTACTATTACTACTACTACTACTACCACTACTACTACTACTACTACTATTACTACTACTACTACTACTACTAGCCGCCTCCCTACACTTTACTTAAAATGGAACAGAAATTCCCCGAGGAGGCGGCCAGTAACAGTAGTGACGTTAATGTGGCGATTGCTGCCCGGA